GAAAAAAAAGTTTGAATTAATTATTAAATAAAGCGATCTTGATAAAATACAGTTTTGAATACTTTATTATTAAATGAAATTTTTGCATCTCTGTATGATGTGTTCATACTAGAGATCCCAAACTTACTTAAAATAACTTCTTTCAGTTTGAAAATTGAATACTCATATTATATTAAATATTTACTCAATTATTTAGTTGTACGAACATACTCAAACAAATAACAATAGAAACACTATTTTGAAAATCAATATTTATTTATTATCAATGTAACATAATAAATAATCATAATATGTTAAAAAATTTACTAATAAACAATTGATAATATGATTTCTAGGAGGCCTTATGAACAAAAATTAACCTATAAACAAAACAAATATTTAAAAATGTACACGAGCATAATTGAGATCTCGGGGTTATGTGCGCGAGAATCGTTCTATGCCCGATCTACAACTAATTATAAATTTACAAAACTTAAATGGTATAATACACTCTGTTAGAAATAAAAAAAATTACAAATATNAACACTCTGTTAGAAATAAAAAAAAATTACAAATATTTTAAAAATACATTAAATTGCTAACAAACAACAAGGTTCTGTCAGATGTTCTATACTCGAATTATGTCAGTTTGATCAAAAGTCAGTGGTTATCAAAGTTATCAATTTTTTATGAACTATTCAGTCTTCAAGTTTTATTTGATTTGTTAATTTTTTAATTTAACCCTGTCAATAAAGAGTTTCTGATGAAGTTTTTTCTGAACTAATAGGCTCGCTGTTATCACCAGACGACGACCAAGAAAATGACGGAGGCGGAGGTCGGATACTGATCTTATGGTGCTTTTTAATATTATCGTCATTGTTAGTACTAGGGCCCACAAGTAAATTCAGGTATCTGCGACGGCACGTGAAAGCTAAAAATACAAATAAGCCCTGAAAGGCATTGAGTACAACGAATAAAATCCACATATACTTATTATTTAAATAGTAACTGGCCAAACCAACACTCCANGTTATTAAAATAGTAACTGGCCAAACCAACACTCCAAGAAAGACCCATGAGTATAGTCATACGACAGTACATGCGAAAATCACGACGAACATGACGTGTAGTAATGTGACGACTTGTACATCGACTGGTNACATGACGTGTAGTAATGTGACGACTTGTACATCGACTGGTGTGTATCATGTACGATGTCCATAGGAATAATACGAAGTTTATTACCATGATAAATGCCAATGGTCCAGCAAAGAATACTAAAAGCGCCGTTTTACTGCCAAACCAGCATTGTTCTGACCCGAACCTGGGTCGCAGGTTTTCGGGTACGTTTGGTATAGTGTCAGATAATATGGCTACAAACGCAACCATAGCCGGGACTAGCCAGCAAATCGCTGAATAAATGAGAAATTTTTTTGTTTGACGTCCAGAAGATACTCGTAGCTCGACAGTGGCTAACCGAAGTGTACGCCAACAGTCAAAGCTCATTATTAACATCCAAGCAAAAGATGTAAGGAATAAGTAATACGTGATGGTTGCGTTTACGTAGCAAGCAGCTCCGGTAAGCCAATTCCCAGTGACAAAAGCAGCGTACGCGAATATGAGGGATACACAATACGAAGCTAAATTCTTTCCAGACAGATTTTTCATCTCTGGCAACACGGTAAATACAGCTAAATGTATGACAAGGAACACGATAGATACTCCTAGACCAACGTAAGTCAATATAATTGACTTTAGTGATTCCGAGGGTTCTTCTTGACCGATTAAATCTTCAGCACAAACCATTAATGTTCCGTTGTCAAATAAAAAATAATCAACGGTGCCATTTTTTGGTAACCAGCCGTTTGTCACATTGGAAATAATAGCCACTTTAGAACAATTGAGTGGCTGTGAAATATGTGGCACGAGTGGAAAACAACTTTTTTTAAATGGATCGTAAAAATATTCATCATTCCAGCATCTTTTAGGACCAGGCTCAGTTAAGAACAATGACCCAAAACTATGAGGTATATTGAATCGTGAATTTAAAAGTGACGAACAGGTTAAATTTTGTACCGGTATGTGGTTACACATGGCACAGTGAATATTTTTGTAAAAAATTTGGCTTTCCCTATCAACTACTATCGTTGTGTATGCTTCGCAATTAGACTTAATTTCTCCTGCAGGCCACATCGGGTGACATTTTCTAATCATGTCAGAATTACAATATCGGACTGGAAATGGAGCTTCTACTTGAAGTAAGCAATTATATGTTTCATTTTTATACTTTACCGACCAATTTCCATTGGAAAGTTGCTGATAAGATTCGGCAATTCCGTCTACTATGGATAAATCATCACAAACAAGTTTAGAGTCCCATATTACTAGCTTATCAGTATCACTATTGCAAAGAGCACAATATCTGTTACGATACGTAATACCTGACAAGTTAGCTGTGACTGGATTGTCGATCAAGAAGTCAGTGCTAACGCTTTGTTCGCAAGCTTTTCTTACAGCTTGGTTGTCCCACTTTGACGGACATTTTGACTTCATAAAGGTTCCATAGTATAAATTATTATTGTTTATCTTTTCACAACTGTATTCAGTGGCCGC